TAAGTTGTGTCAGTTAAGTTTTCCAAGTTCTGCCAACTAAGTGTTTAAATTCAAGTTACTGGAAATTTCAAGTCTGTAAAAACGTACTTTTTTAAGTTCAGATTACTGTCCCCTACAATAACTTACTATTTTGAGTTTAAATTAGCCCCCACATTAAAAGATCATGATGTTTATTTATATAGCACATTTCATGGACCAAGGTCACTTGGGTAGGGGAAACCGGAGCACCCGGAGGAAACCTATGCAGACACAGAGAACATGCAAATTCCACACAGAAAGGCCCTGTTCCGACCGGGATTTGAACCCAGGACCTTCGTGTCAAGAAGCGAGAGTGCTATCCACTCAGCCACCGTGCCGCACACACTGTGAACCAGAGGGGAAACTGACCCAGAGAATATACAGGGCTACTTTGGCTTGGCCCTGTCGATTACGGTTGGTAAAAATAAATACAGTGATTTTTTTGGTCAAATTAGTTTGTTCAAAATGTTGAATGCAGCTGGTTGCCATAACACATATTTAAATGAGCAAACGCAGATAAGTTGACCTCACTATAGCTCGGTGAACTGTAAAATTTTTCACCTTACTCAGATTTTTGCATTCAGTGACAATAAAATTTCCAGTTGGAACTGGAACTGTCTGTTGTGAGCCACTTGAACTTTCAGAAGTTCACTACAACTTCAAAGTCAAATAAACTTAATATATCAAATAAGATGAACTTTTCATCAGAAACTTCTGAAAGTGAGTTCAAGTGGCTCACAGCAGACAGTTGCAGTTCCAACTGACAATTTTATTGTCAGTGAATGCAAAAATCTTAGTAAGGTGAACAATTTTGAGTTGTATTTTTTACAGTGCAGCACCAGAAGTCGCATTAATGGTGAGCGTTATAACAACATTATTTAAAAGAATAAATTCAGAGGCTTATTATATATATGATTCGAAGTTTGCGTGTTTCCGTTAGACTTTTTCTGATGCGCAAATTCAATTTTTTAAACATGATGCCAGAGTGTGAACATGTTTATTGTTGTCCAAATCTTGAATTTCATGCGTGTTTTGGCGTGTTGTGCCGAAGGTTGAAATGAATAGTTGCTAGACTGTAGTAAACGTGTAAAACGATATTGCTAATGTATGATGGGTGGGAAACTTTCTTTCTACGTGTTTTACAAATATAATGGAGTTGGCTGATGAATGTCTGCTTAGTTTTAAGTACAGTAGAACAGTTCAGTCTAACTTTAGACTCAATTGTGTAATTGAGCTGCTACAGAGACATTTGAGCTCAATGACCGCTATAAACGGTTTGATGTCTCTGTTAAACAACATTCAATATTTTATACTTTGCTGCAGACTGTTACTGTAGGCTACAAATGTTTTTTCTTCACTGAAGCAATTATTGTTATTATTTGAGTAAATTAATGTTGATACATTTTACACCTTTCTTTTGCTTGTTTAGTCCCTTGCTTTAAATGTGTAATCTGTGAGAGAATGAATGCATATGAGTCAGATTTAGATTAAGGGATCCTTTATTCGTCCCACAGTGGGGACATTTCAGTCCCCATTTCAGTCCGTGATATCTGTTACTGTAGGCTACAAATGTTTTTCCTTCACTGAAGCAATTATTGCTCTGCTAATGTTTGCATGAACTTAGTTTGCATTTTTAAAGGCCGACAAAAGCCACCACCTTGCCACAAGAGGACATGAGACAGGAGTGCCCAGTGAAAGAGAAAGAGGTGTGAAACCCACCCATCTGGTGTTCCCGGTGCAAAAGGCCTGCACTCAAAAAACTGACTCAGGCCTCTCTTAAAAGTAACACATAATGTATGTGTTTGCTTCATAATAATATATTGGGTACAGCCATAACCTAAATAGACATGTTCATTGTAAACTAAAAAGTTTTAGTTTGACAAATCACTCTTTGAGGTAACAAATTCCTATTTCATGTTCAAAATGAAAATAAATTTGTTTTAACAGCATCCAAAAAAATGTATTCCTTCAAACCTAATTGATTTACATGAAATGATTCCCTCTTTGATGGAACACATTGATAATTCATTCGCCTTAATAAACTGTATACCTTTGGAGCTTGGACCAGTCTCACATTAAAAAAAAAGGTACGTTCTTTTCTGATTTAAGAATTGGCACATCTATTTTGCTGGTTATTAGTAACAAAGTCAGACTTGGTTGGATGACACAGGGTTGTTCTGCAGTGACACAAAGTACCTTAGCTCGCTAATATGTAAGATTCTTGGGAGGCGGGTTAGCAGTGTTGCTAAAATAACACAAATTGAACTGCATATGAAGTTTCTGTAAGTTATTTAGTATGAGCTTAACAACTTGTTTATTTGTTTGGTTTGTTTTCACATCTGCTGTAGTGGTACACAGAGTAAAAGAATCTCATTAAATAAGGTAAGTCAACTTTCACTCCTGTAGTTAATTCTTTTGCTTCGTGTTTTGTTCTGTGCCAACAATACTGTCTTTTCTCTTTCTTTGGACTTTGTTTTACCAAGATCCCAAAGCCTCAGCGTGAAATGAGAAACTTTGCAGCAGAATTCAAGTTTTTCTTTGTTTATACATTTATTTTTGTGATTTACGTCTTTGTAAAGTATTCAGTTCGACACTGTTTTTTGTGTGACTAGTTTTTGAGCCCTTCAGAGCAATGTTGGATAAAATAAATATACATTTCATTTATATTGGTGTTGAATCTGTTGACTGGGTTTTATGTCATAATTAAAATAAAATAAAAACATTTTACATGAACACGGCAGGTGAAAGTATTGATTTTTCACGCAGTGGTCGAAGTGGAGATTTGTATCTATGTTTCCTCCCTTTACATCTTATTTTTCATGTCAGAGAATAAAAATGACAAAACCCATCCCCCATTATGCTTATTTTATGATGATTTGTCCTAGCCTGATTTATTCAGCTTTGAACCCAAAAAAACAGGCTGAATTGGAGTTTTTACAGATTTGTTCATTATGATCAGTCAATTGAAAAACGAAACAAATCCCATCTGCTAAAATCTGTGCCTCCTGCCCAGTGATGGGCAGTAGGCACACATTTTAATCTGGCGCAATCCATTATTTTTATTCCGTTGCCCAAAATATAGGCAATTCTGGCCATTTTTATGAACATGTTAAAGCTGCGTAGGAACTGAACTGTATTGAACTAGATTGACCACAGGAATGTCGAAAATCCAGTTCTTCCTCACATATGCAAAACATCTTATCTCGTGATTGGGACGGGACCGGGAAAAAAACACAGGGAGTGGGCGGTAGGGGGAGGGAGGTGTGTAAAAATCAAGATAAATAGTTCAACCGATGGTATATTTACAGTACATGTCAGCGATGGCTGTGATCAACGCACAAGTCAGTGAGCTCATCAGGACTCTGCGTAAGAAAGGCTGGACGACTAGCACTATCGCCAAACACTTGGCCACAACTGGAATAAGAGCTTCCTTGCGAACTATCCAGCATCATTGCCGATGTGCTGTTGTGGAGAAGAAGAAGGAACGCAAGCCACGTAAAGTGACAAGGTAAATGTACTTTTTATTATTTAAATATATACTCAAGTTTGTAAGTTTCACATGTGAACAAAATAACAACAGGCTTTACCAAATTATGTACTGAAACAATGTGTCTCTTTCAGTCAGGTGATGGAAATAATAGACTCCATCCTGAGAACAGACGATGAACTACCAGCAAGAAAAGTAAAAGAGCTTCTCCAAAGCAGGCACAACATAACGATCGGCTTACACTCGGTGAGAAAGGCAGTCCGGAATCTTGGCTGGAACTTTGGGAAGCCCCAGGTAACACACGTCTCTTTATTAATTACTTATCGTGATAACCGGGCACTCAACATGTCATTCTTATAGTAACATTTTGATAAATTCTGATTACAGATTCGTTCCAATGACCCGAGGAAAAAACAAAGACTTGCGTGTAATCCAAGCTCAAGAATGGAAGGCTGCTGGTGAAAAGTTTGATGATGTTCTCTTCACTGACGAGTCAACTGTGGCACTGGAACGTTTTGCCTTGAAGTGCAAAAGGAAAAAGACCAACTTCAGGGGCATTGCAAAACCAAGAGTGAAGCACCCGGTCAAAATGCATGTTTGGGGTGGAATTTCTCGATGGGGACCTGGTCCGTTGGTCATTTTTGACGGTGAGTGATGAAGTTTCACTGCATGAAAAGTTAGATTTTCGTCACCCTAAACTGCAGGAAATCACGCTCTTTTTCGGGTATCTCAGGCAGTTTTCAGAAGGCGCAGTTAGGGTGCCCTGTCCTCCAAACTGCCGTATCCGTACCATGCTAATGTCCCTACTTTGCATATGAATGCAGCGAAACACTGCGGCCGCCGAGCGCTAATGGCCCTAATTAGCATATGAATGCAGCGGCTGGCCAGGCTGCTATTCAGCATTGGTGAATACCACTACTTTCAAACTCGTGATTGGCTGAAAAATCACACGTGGCCAGCCCACGTGGGATTACTCCCCATTGGTAGCTTACTCCCCATTGGATGAAATCACTACTTTCAAATAAGTATAATCTCTCGTGATTGGCTAGCAGATCTGTCACTATTGGTCACCCTGCCTCATAATTAATGTAATAATATTTATATAAATATTCGTATTATTTATAGAAGAAATGAAAATTTTCCAGGAATATGTTCATACAAAGAAAGCTTTATTAAAAACACACACACACACACACACAGCTTTATGCTCACACATAGGTAATTAAAAAATTACAACTCTGAACTGTCCAATAGCCTCCTCGGGGTTGTAATTTGGCAGGGTTCTAGATAGACGCTTAATGTGCGTGGCTCTGTACTTCCGCGCCGCCTCTAACCGGGACTGCAGCTTGACAGAGTTCAGAAAACTCCGGCTTTCGAAAAGACTGCGACCGCACAATCCATCCAGAGACACCGTCCACAACGCCTTCTTCTTCATTGGACATTAGGTCTACCGTGGCGGACTTCCAGAGTTCCACTTTGTCACTTTCTAGCACACTCAGTCTCGATTCCAGCGGCTGAAAGAATCAGTAAATATTATTAGCCAAATCAAATCCTTTTTCCCATCTAAACATAGTGTCTAAAGCAGACCTGGAGATTCTTATCCATGCATTTGTCTCCAGTAGGTTAGACTACTGCAATGGCCTGCTCACAGGTCTGTCCAAACAGGCTGTAAAACAGCTGCAGTACATTCAAAATGCAGCAGCTCAAGTCCTGACTAGAACCAGGAAGTACGATGGTAAGGCAAGTTTATTTGTCTAGCACAATTCATACACAATGCAACTCGAAGTGCTGAGCAAAATAAGAAAGCATTAAAATAAATAATCCCAGTACATTAACAAAGATAAATATAAAATACCTCAGTTGTAGCACAGCTAAAGTGACAGCTCCTCTCTGACAATGTTTAAAACCAGGTTAAAGGGAGAAACAGTAAAACACTTACACACAATGTCGTCTTTATCAACATGGTGGAAATGTGGACTTATTGTTCACATTGTATTGCAGATATTGTGTTAAGCAAATAGGAGGTCACCGTCTCATTACGAGGCGAGATTAGTCTGAAAACAAAGTGTACAGTTATGATTGGTATCTATACATATCCATTACCGACACAAAACGTGTAGGTAAACCAAAATCAATTTCCATGGATACATGAACAATACTTACATAACCTTTTTGAGAAAATGGATCCTTCAATGAAAAAAGTGTGATAATTCTAAGAGCATAGCTTTTTTTGTTTTCGGGAAGGCATTTGTCTAAGGAGAAAAAAACAGTCATGGTCAAAGGACTTCATGGTTACATAAAAAGGCTAAATTAATAGTATCTACAAGTACATATTTTCACAGGGACCTAACCAAGAGATAATCTACAGGAGAACATCTACCTAGGTCATTTATAAAAGAGATCAGTACTATTTATCTTACAATGGGGAATCAATAACAGTGGTGAGAGAAACTGAATTGTTATGTGATTATTGTGAAAGGTCTTTCAAGTGATTTTCATTTTATTTTGAGTAAATATCCTTCCACTTGTAAGAAGGAACTTTTGAGTATTAACTGAGGGATACAACATACCCATGTGTTTCACTCATGTCACTGACGAGAAGGTCGACAAGTTGTCTTCGAGAGCGGAGATCTCACAGTGATCTCACAGAATTATAATCTTTAAGGATCTCTCGGTCACCAGGGTTTTCCTGCAGTTCCACCATCTACAAACACGTGGAAAATGTAAAATGACAATCTACAATTGTACCAAAAATCTTAGGATACAAAATGCAGCAGTACCTCTTTTGATGTGTACCTTTCTCCTTTCTCCATCTCCTCTGCTGTACATATGTGCATTTCAACACCAAACACAATCATATGTCATTTCTTTTTGTTATTGCTTTATGAACTTACACAGGAATCGAGGTGCCGGACAATCTTGGAAAGCTTAGCGCCAGCAGACCCCCTTTTGGCCTTAAGAGCTTGATGAACTGTGTCGTTAGGCAATCCAATGCTTCAACGAAATCATTGCCCAGTTTGGAGCTGGTGATCTGGTTAAATTCTGCCAGGACCTGCAAAAAAAACAACATAAAACACTTCAAGTAAAATGCATAGATGTAAAAAATATGTACACACCTGTCTCTCTGTATGAAGTGCTGGCCAGCGCGCTTTGACATTTTCCACAGGTGGGGCAGAATTGACTATTTCTTGTTGTCGGACTGCAACACGCTGTAAGCAAAAAAAGAATAATCAATATATATAAAACAATATCACATGATTTTTGCTCAAATGTGTTTAAAGGAGGTCTAGATTCACTCAATAACATTATTAAGCAATGGACTTAATAAAAAAAAACAAAAAAAATGAACAGAAAGACAACAGTGACAAATGAGATGAAAAAGTACAGTAATAAAAGTGAAAGTCTTAGCGCTCAAATAAAGACAGGAACAGTGCAAAACAAATGATATATGTTAGATATTCCACAGTCTCCGCGTATATCAGGCTCTGCCATGAGCCCAAACTGCTTTTCCTTCGGTTCTTTCGAAGCAGTCTGCTCTGTGCGCCTCGTCCATGCTCCTGCAGCAGCTCCATGCTTTACAGAAAGTTATCACACACGGAGCAATCACATATGTGATATATATATCACATATATATGTGATTCCTAGCGGCGGCGGCCCGCGTAGTTAGGGCCGGGAATATGGCTCTGAACATGGCTACAGTTAGCTACTAACAGCTCCATTCACCGCTGTCCTCAGTAAACTCCCGGAGGCCGGACAGAGCTCTCTCAGGCCTCCGGGAGAGCGGCTCTGAACACGGCCACAGTCACTGCATTCACCGCTGAGCTGGTCGAACACACGAGTTTTATAAGATAATATAGTCGAATGTATACTCGTTCTTAACACACTTCTTTAGCTTTATACCTTTATAACAATGAACAACGTGTCTTAACACTTACCGTACATTCAAAAGAGTCCTCTCTTCACGTTCCAGACCGCACCGTCGACTTGAGGCAAAGTATTTCGTTGCGTTTTGCGCATGCGCGAAATGCGCATTCAGTTTGTGAAGTCCCCATGTTTTGGTTGTGTAAAGAGAGTGATGATAACACCAACAACCGTTTGTGTATATACTGGTCAAAGTGCTCGTGGGTCCTCCGGTATGATACTCCGTCTGGTTGGGAGGCCACCAGCAGACTGAAGTCGTCTGCCAATGATTTGTGTCTGAAGGTCAGGAATGTAGTTGTAATCCTTTGCTTCTTTGACAGTGTGTACCCGATACCGTTTCGATTTTTTGCTGTACAGTCTCTTTAGGCTACAAGATAAGTAATTTCACGTTAGAAGACAACTATATTTATGACTTGTCAATAGGAAGTAGTGAATGATACTTACGACACTTGGCCTTTGCTGTTCACATGTGCCGGACGGCTGTTGTGGTGATTGTAGTCCAAAGCTGCGAGAAGTGTTCTTGCTTCATAAACAAAAAATGAAAAAGCAAACCGCTTTCCGGCATACATCAGAATATGGTTTTGGAATGATTCCAGCTGTGAGGTGGTCCTGCAGGGAAAGTAAGTAGGAAATAGAAGAAACACAAATCATTCAAAAAAACAAAAACTGATCTCTTACCGAAATGTGAGGAACTTCTCCACATCCTTCAGCCATCTGCGGTTCAGCACGATCTGTGACAGTGCCACATGTGCTTTAGAGCCAGTTGGTACAGGCTCTTTAGTGCCATCATCCCCCAAAGGACCATGAAGGCATCTACCCAGGTCCCACCTCGCCAAATGTCCTAATAAGCAAACATAAGAAACTGAAAAGGTATAGTGAAAATGAGAAGATAAATTCTAGTTCTACTTTACTTACCATGAACTGGTCTCGGCTGCTTGCATGCTGACAGGCATACCAAAAATGGTTAACAATGTCCTTGATCCACCCAAGGATTTGTTTTTGACCTGCTAGGACACCCGCATATCAAAGTTATTAGTTTTGGTTATGTCTATAAAAAATAATTGAATGAGAAACGATATGAACTATCACTTACAGCATGAAGCCTCTTAGTTAGATTTTTTTCAGCATGCCAGACATCCAGGGAATGGGTAACTCCATGATCCATATATCTTCCCCGTTCTGGATCTATTATAAAGCTCAAAAATGCAGTAAGCACAAAATATAGCACATCAAATAATACAGACAAAAATACTTACGTATGAGGGCTGCAATTTGCACATGGGCGTCAGTCACAATCTCTTTGACTTTTAATTCTTTCGTGAGATCATCAAATGTTTTGATGAACGCTGCCTTCTCCATAGAGACACTTTTTCCACCAACTTGCCTTTTATCAACATTGACAACACTGATAATGTCCATTGTGTCAAGTTCCATCGTTGTGTATGTGCAAAACGTTGCAGAATGACCTTGTTGAATCAAATATGGTGAAACACAAAGTAATACACAATAACTATGTTGTGAAGTGAAAGGCTTCAGACTTACCTGGTGAGTCCATTCTCCCGTCAGCTGTAACAGATATAGTACTTATAGTGACTGCAAATACGACAAAGATTGTCCTTTAACACATTACTTACCAAGGGCCACAATGCCATCTTTTGACTTTAATCGAGTTACAATAGACAACCTCTTCTGCTCCCAAAATGCCTTTATTTCAGGTACGCAGTAGGAGTGTTGAATTTTGTAATAAGTTGTCGTTGAAACCATCTTCATATTCATAAATTTGAAGAGGAGGGCAATCTTAGCAAAATTATTACCACTCAGTAATAAGTTGGCAGATAACATAAAATCGCCTCCTTGCATCCCATGTCGAAGTACAGGTTGACTGTTCCACATCCATAACTTGTGTCCATAAGAGCAGAACTATGGAGAAAGAAACAAATAACTTTTACTAAATGTATAACTACACATTTTGCCTACCCCAAATAACAATCTCTAATTTCAGCATTCACTCACCCATTCCAATATGATTGATGTGCCCCTAGAACGTGATTGAACCGAAAATGGAGGCCGACCGTCACACTCAATACCAGAAACCGGATCGCTGTAATGGCATTTGTTGATGGGCAGTTGCAGAAAATTAGCCATTTGCAGCAAGCTAATAGTATACGCTATGCATGCGTGTTGGTGCACTAGGTCAGTTTCAGCAACCACACGAATTGGCTTTGGGAATGTTGATATGTCCTGCTCAGACTGATCCTCAAAGTCCTCTGGTTCTCCGGGATTTTCTGGGTCACAGATGTCCAACACAGCTTCTTCTATGCCGAGGATGGGAAGATTGTCAACTTCTCTTTGAATTGCAACACCAGCACTGAAAAAAAGAACAATTTGATGCTTTTTCAAAAAACAATTAGGGAAGGACTTCCATTATTTTCAGGACAGAACATTTAATAAAAAAAACCTCAAAGATATAGGTGGGACATATTCCGAATCTAATGGATCTGAGGCCAAATCTTCATCAAACTCAATCCTGTGAAAGTAAACAGGTCATATTTTAAAACAATCAACAAAATATTTCTTTTTAAACATGTTAAGTAACTTACACACTGTCTTCTAGATTGTTTGCCCGTTTTTCGTTTAACCAAAGATCTGAATGTCTACAAAAAACAATAAATCATATAAATAAACGACCTAGAAATGAGAATACAATGTACATCTTAATGTGAATGCACGTCTACCTTTTCTCCAAAACCTCCAGCTCTTTCTCCTCTATAAAAGGCTGCACCCCTGCCACAGATAAGTCATCCCTGTTAAAAAATACAGTTTGTTTCAGTGAAATTGTCAATAAGGCTTGAATCAAACATAATGCCAATCCCATTTTTCTGGGAAAAAAAAGTACCGGTCAGATTCTACGGGACTGATTGAACTCGGGAGATCACCAGTCGCAGTAGTGGTTTTAGGAGTTGAGGCCTTGGGACTCCTTGATGCCATCATTTTTTCATAGCTATAAAGTAAATAAATACACGTTACCTATACACACATGCATCTCATTGTATTACAGTTGGACTAACCACATTATATTACTAATATAGTCTGCAATTCTACGATACATATAGTACAGGTACTGAGGTACATATAGTACAGTTACATAATCACTGCATCTGCAAGTTTCATAATAGTTTACATGCACAGTAGCAGCCCAATAATGTACACAGCTGTACTAAGCTAACAGATGCTAACGTTCATTCAAAAGCACTAATCAACGTAACAGTCATTATTTCTAGACATTCTTCATACAGAACAAAAAAAATGCTGAATGTGTCTCGCCAATCTGTTACTGTTCAGAAAAAAACCGAACCAAATGGAATCAGTCCATGTTGCTAAGTCAAAAAGCTAACACACAATAATGCTATATCTCTTCGTATTCGTGCAAGACACTAGGACGTTTAGAACTGAGTCACCGTCTTACCTTCTAATCAAGATAAACGCCAAATGAGGATCATTTTTTATCCCCAGAGCGTTTCGGAGACTTCTCCATTTCTCAAACGCATGGCCGAGAGCGACTCGGGTCTGAGCTCTCCGCCGGTGAACGAGTTCTACTTACTCATCGATCAAAATGCTCGAAAGTAGGCGTGGCTTAGACATTTTTCACAATAAAAGCCCACTGCCTCTGCGGGACCTCTAAAGTCCGAAATAAAGACTCCTTTCTCGTAGTGTTTCTGACGAAGGATTGCTATCACATATAATCAACGTAAATCAGATGTGTTGTTGCTGTTCCATATACTGTCTGTGAATCGCGAACTGTTTCCCATGACACTGACCTGAACAGCTGCAAGGTGCGCAGTTTAACCTGGAGCTGCGGTGGGACTGTGGTGTTTCCATTCACTAAACACGCTCACAACAGCGATTTACAAACACATGACCAGCGCCTGCTCTCACACATTGTTCTCATATACTACAGTCATAAGAAATATTGATGTAGAAAAATAAATCACATGTGGAATTAATGCTGTATGTGATCGCTATCACAGACCAGGAAAAGGACGTTCAGGTTGTATGAGTGAGCAATAATGTGACTAATAATGAGCATGCAACTGTGACAGGACGAACATGTGTGTGTGGTAAAGCATGACAGCAGCAAGAGGGTGTCACTGAAAGATGACAGCAGACGGCCAAACACATGTTGTATTTGTAGAGTGGGCTA